CTGCTGCTGCTGCTGCTGCTGCTGCTGCTGCTGCTGCTGCTGCTGCTGCTGCTGCTGCTGCTGCTGCTGCTGCTGCTGCTGCTGGGCCGAATGCCCGTGCTGCTTCTGTCGCCGCTGCTGCAGCTGCTGCGCGGGGTTCCTCCCCCTCGTTCCTCTCGCCTTCGCCGCTCCCGCTGCTGCTGCTGCTGCTGCTGCTGCTGCTGCAGCGTTTGAAGTGTCTCCTTTTTATTCTCAGGTTCGGGGAACTGCTCAGTTCGTTTTGAAATGGGATATTCAGTTTGCTTCTGCTTGGGGCTGTTGTATGGCCGGCTGAACCCGAACCAGCTTCCTTTGTATGCTGCTGCTCCGCAGCAGCAGCAGCAGCAGCAGCAGAAGCAGCAGCAGCAGCAGCAGAAAAAGAGGAAGAGACAGCGGTTCCGCTGCGCCCCCTGGATCGGACTCGTGACGCGAGAGCAAGTTGCTATCCGCAGGAGACAGGCTGAGATTCAGCAGCAGCAGCAGCAGCAGCAGCAGCAGCAGCAGCAGCAGCCGTGTTGCGGCGCTGCCGACTGCATCTGCACTGCTGCTGGTCCTGCTGCTGCTGCTGCTGCTGCACCTCAAGGCCCAGTGGGCGGCGAGTCGCTGCCCACTGCGGGCTCTTGCTGCCACGGCGACAGCAGCAGCAGCAGCAGCAGCAGCAGCAGCAGCAGCAGCAGCAGTGTACCTGCTGCAGCAGCAACAGTTGCTCCTGCTGCTGCCTGGGAACCTAGTGCCGCAGCAACGAGCAGCAGCTCCGGGCCTCCGTCAGGCCCAGCAACAACAACAACAGCAGCAGCAGCAGCAGCAGCAGCAGCAGCAGCAGCAGCAGCAGCAAACGACGCAGACTGGGAACCCCCCTGGCCTGCTTCTCCCGGGGCTGAGCCTTCAGTCCCTTTGAATTTGTGTCTCCTCACAATTCACTGCAGCTGCGACGACGAAGACTTTCTCCTCAGAGTCTCCTTGGACAAGGTACCTGCTGCTGCTGCTGCTGCTGCTGCTGCTGCTGCTGTCTTTGCTGCTGCTGCTGCTGCTGCTGTCTTTGCTGCTGCTGCTGTCTTTGCTGCTGCTGTTTTTGCTGCTGCTGTCTTTGCTGCTGCTGTTTCTGCTGCTGCTGTTTTTGCTGCTGCTGTCTTTGCTGCTGCTGCTGCTGTCCGTGCCGTTGTTGCCTCTGTCTTTGCTGCTGCTGCCGCAGTGCTTGCTGCTGCTCCTGCTGCGCTTGCTGCTGCCGGGCTTGCTGCTGCTGCCCATGCTGCTGCTGCTGCTGCTGCTGCTGCTGCTGGGGCTGCAGGTGAGCGACGACCTGCCGTCTCTGTCGGAACTCGAGCGCTGCTACACTATTCATGGAGAAAGATTTTCTTTGTCAGCTTTGGACAGAAAGTTGTCGAACTTGCAAGAAATAGAGACGCAAAGCAAGCAGCTGCTGCTGCTGCTGCAGGCTGCCCACAGCAGCAGCAGCAGCAGAGCAGCAGCCGAAAAAAACCTCGTCAGAAAAGGCGGCAGACACCTTGTCCTCGCCAGGGTCCCCACGCGGCACTTACCCACGCTCTCCAGCAGCAGCAGCAGCAGCAGCAGCAGCAGCAGCAGCAGCGGCGTAGATGCGGTGGACCCAGCACAAAGTCGGGTGCCTTCGGAAGACAAACTCCAGCAGCAGCAGCAGCAGCAGCAGCAGCAGCAGCTGCCCCCTGCCGCAGGTGTGACGGGCGCAGGGGATGGCAGCAGCGCTGCTGCCGACAGCAGCAGCAGCAGCAGCAGCAGCAGCAGCAGCAGCAGCAGCTCTTACGGGGACTTTGTGGACCGGAGCGAGCTGCGCTTTGACTGGCAGCTGCGGGGAGTTGCTGCGCGGCTGGAAGCAGAAAAGAGACAAAGCAGCGAAGGTGCAGCAGCAGCAGCAGCAGCAGCAACTTTGTCTCTTTCGCAAACTTATGACAATCTCTTTTTGCTGCTGCAGTCAGTGAACAGCCATGTGCTCAGGGCCAAAGCAGCACACCTGAGCTGCCAGCTGCGCTGCATTGAAAGAGATGCCATTAACACCAAAAACAAGTTGCTGCTAAACCAGCAGCAGCAGCAGCAGCAGCAGCAGCAGCAGCAGCAGCAGCGCGGGGAAGGGGCGGGCGAGGAGTGGGATGCAGCGGAAACGGCGCAGCAGCAGCAGCTGAAGCGCGAGCAGCAGCAGCTGCAGCAGCAAGCCAGCCGGCAGCTGGAGCTGCTGCAGCAGGGCAGAGCCCTAGTCAAAATGTATGCAGCAGAAGAGCAGCAGCAGCAGCAGCTGCTGCTGCTGTGGAGGGAGGTCTTTATGGCTCTTGTGCATCTGCCCCCGGGCACTCCGCCAAACCCTCACATCCGCAACGGCAGGCGGCTGCAGCAGCTCTTCTAGCGCTGCTGCTGCTGCTGCTGCTGCTGCTGCTGCAGCAGCAGCAGCAGCAGCAGCAGCAGCAGCAAACTGCACGCGGTTTTGTTGGTGCCGTTTGGCAAGGCCAAGGGCCTGCGCCGCCGCGCTCGGGCCTCAGGTGTACGTACACCTGAGAGCAACACGAAGCAGCAGACACCTGCAGCAGCTGTGGGGTGTCTGGGATCGGTGGGATCGCTCGATCCCAGCGATCCCAGTGCTGCACCAGAGGGAGGGGCCCCCAGGGGCCCCACAAGCCGCCCCTGCCCGCGCTGTTTCGCATGCAGGGCATGCATGCGCGGCTGCTGCTGCAGCAGCAGCAGCAGCAGCTGCTGCTGCTGCTATTGCTGCCGCTGCAAGGCAGCAAAGGCCTGCAGACAGCGAGGGGCCCCCTTGGGGGCCCCCGGGGCTTCGGGGTTTGCAGAGGAACAATATTTAATATAAATTTTTGTTTATTTGTTATTTATTTCCGCAAAAAGATTCAAAGAAAAGCCCAATCTTGCTGCGCTGCTGCTGCCCGCGGAAGTGACCCTGCTGCTGCACACGCGGCGCTGCTGGGGTGTCTGGACAGCTGGCAGCAGCAGGTCACTAGCTGCTGCCGTTTAGAGCTTCTCTTTTTTTGTTTTTTAATTTTAATTTATTAATTTAAATCATTTAAACCATTTAAACTTCTCAGTCGATCTGGAAAGTAATAAGGCGAGGAACAGGCAGCGGCTGAGACGCGACTGGCGTTGTCGCTGCTGCTGCTGCTGCTGCTGCCGCTGCTGCTGCTGCTGCTGCAGCGACACTCGCTGAAAATATAATTTAAAGTCATTTTTGCTGCTTCGCCTTCTTTTAAAACCCAAGCAGCATGCAGCAGCTGCTGCGCAGTCACCAGACAAGGGGGGCCCCCGAGGGCACTGCCGGGGGGCCCCTGGGGGGCCCCCCAGACCCTTCTTTGTTGGCTTCTTGCCTAAGAGACGCAATAGTACAGATACTCTTAGGGTCTCAAACGTTGCAAGGGCCTCAAGAGGGGGGCCCCCAGGGGGGCCCCCGGGGGGCCCCCCAGGGGGCCCCCCTGGGGGGCCCCCCGGCACCTTCCCCCAAAAGGGAACTGCTGGGGGCTCCAGATGCCATTGCAGCTCGAGGGGCCCCTCTTGGGGGCCCCTTTGGAAACCCCATGGGGCCCCCGGGTGCAGACCCTTTCCTGGGGGCCCCTTTGGGGGCCCCTCTGGGGGCCCCTGGGGGGCCCCCTCGGGGGCCCCTTGGGGGGCCCTCCTTGGGGGCCCCCGGGGGGGCCCCCCTGGGGACCCTGGGGTGCCCTTGCTTGCTGGCTGAGGAGCCAGAGGGCAGTAAGGAGATTTTGGAATTGTTTAATTTAAAAAGTAGTTAGGAAAAAAGAATTTGCTTTAGAAGCGGTAGACAAAAGCAGCAGCAGCAGCAGCAGCAGCAGCAGCAGCAGCAGCAGGTGGCTGCTGAGGCGCTGAGCTGAAAGGAGCTGCTGCTGTGCTTTTTTCTGTCTCTTTTTGTCTCCTTTGCCGGCTGTTGCCCCAGAAGCACCCGCAGCAACTGCAGCAGCAGCAGCAGCAACAGCAACAGAAGCAGCAGCAACAGCAGCAACAGCAGCAACAGCAGAGGCAGAGCTGCTGTTTGTTCGACTCAGAGAAAAAGAGGCGAGCTGTCTGTACACCCCAGCGCCGTTCGTTGCAGCAGCAGCAGCAGCAGCAGCAGCAAGCGCAGCAACTCGCTGTTGCTGCAGCAGCAGCAACAGCAACCGAAGCAAAAGGCTGCAGCAGCAGCAGCAGTAGCAGCAAATAAAAGGCACTTGTAGACCCCAAAGCTAGCAGCAGCTCGGCTGCTGCTCCTCTGGCTGTGCTGCTGCAGGAGGAGTGCAGCAGCACCCGCTTGCTGCTGCAGCAGCAGCAAGCAGCAGCAAAAGAGGCGCAGCAAAAGTACCAGGAACACAGAGACAGAGCAGCAGTAGGAGTTACATGCTGCAGCAGCTGCTGCCTTCAGCCCCTGCTGCTGCTGCTTTTGCTGCTGCTGTTACTGCTGCTGTTGGTGTTGCTGCTGTTGCTGTGCTGCTGCTGTTACCAATGCTGCTGCTGCCTCTGATGCTGCTCCTGCTGCCTCTGATGTTGCTGCTGCTGCCTAAGATGCTGCTGCTGCTGCTGCTGCTGCTGCTGTTATTTCTGCTGCTACACTTTCTTACCTTTTTTCATTCCTGGTGCTGCCACTAACGCTGCTGCTGCTGCAGCTTCTGTTGCTGCTGTTGGTGCCGCTGCTTCTGCTGCTGGTACTTCTGTGCTGCTGCTGCGACTCCTGCTGCTGCTGCTGCCGCTTCTTCTGCTTTTGCTGCTTTCTTTGTTTTTGCTGCTGCTGCTAGTCGTTCCGCTGCTGCTACTCCTTTTGCTGCTGCTGCTGCTACCTGTGCCGTTGCTGCTACTTCTGCTGCTTGTGCGGCTTCTACTTCGGGTGGCGCTGCTGCTGCTGCTGCCGCTGCTTCTACTGCGGCTGGTGCTGCTGCTGCTGCTGCTGCTTCTACTTCGGCTGCTGCTGCTGCTGCTGCTGCAGCTGCTTCTACTTCGGCTGGTGCTGCTGCTGCTGCTGCTTCTACTTCGGCTGGTGCTGCTGCTGCTGCTACTTCCGCTGCTGCTGCTGCTGCTGCTGCTGCTACTTCCGCTGCTGCTGCTGCTGCTGCTGCTGCTGCAGACTCTGGCTCACCGCGTAGTGCATGATCTGAAAGAGAGGCGCCTCATGTCCAACCAGCTTGCCGAGGTCACGACAAACCCTAAACCCTAAACCCTAAACCCTAAACCCTACACCCTAAACCCTAGCTTTCACAGCTTAAACCCTCAACTTTAGCTGCTGAATCTAAAACCCTTAACCCTGAATTCGAAACCCTAAATTCAAAACCAAGAGCCTGAATTTAAAGTTGTTGTTCCTGAACCCTAAACCCTAAATCAAAACCCTTGACTTTAAACCCTAAAATAGGAGTCTCAAACCCTAACCTCAAACCCTAAACCCTAAATTTTAGGGTTTAGGGTTTAGGAATGATGGGCCCTGCAGCATCGAGAATTCCACGTGGCTGCATGCGACTCTCTGCAAAGTTTGGGGATTAGGGCTTAGGGTTTAGGGTTTAGGGTTTGAAATTTAGAGATTAGGGTTTAGGATCTAGGGTTTAGGGTTTAGGGTTTGGGTGATTGCTAGGTAGAGCAAAAGCTGCTCGAGGAGAAAGAACAGTCGAAGCGGCTCGAAGCAGACAAGAAGAATCTGGTTAGGCCCTTCTGCTGCTGCTGTTGCTGCTGCTGCTGCTGCTGCTGTTGCTGCTGCTGCTGCTGTTGCTGCTGCTGCTACCGCTGCTGCTGTTGTTGCTGGCTGTGCTGCTGCTGCTCTGGGTGACTAAGGAAGTTCTGCTGAAGTCCGAGACACTCTCGTGCTGCTGCTTGTGGTGCTGTGAAAGCAGCAGCCGCAGCAGCAGCAGCAGCTGCTGCTGCTGCTGCTGTCTCAGTCTTGCTGCTGCAGCTGCGGGGCCACTGCAGGCTAAACAGCAGCAGCAACAGCTGCTTCTGCTGCTGCAGCTGGCGTGGATAAACAGTGACCACTGCAGCGCCTGTGCTTCTGCTGCTGCTGCTGCTGCTGCTGCTGCTGCTGCTGCTGCTGCTGCTGCAGAGCCGCACCATTGCTCGCTTGCGGGGGAAGCTGGAGGAAGCAAATAATGAAATAAATGCTTTAAGAAATCAAGTGAGGAAAAGTTGAAAAGAAAAGCTGCACAAGATTCCCGGGCTGTATGCAGCAGCAGCAGCAGCAGCAGCAGCAGCAGCAGCAGCATAAGAAGCAGCAGCAGCAGCAGCTTTTGAGCTCTTGCAGCAGCAACAACGCAAGAAGCAGCAGCAGCAGCAGCAGCAGCTGATGCACTCTCACGTTTTGCAGTTGCTGCACTTCTTAGGCTTCCTGTAGCTGTGGGCGGCAAAATTGGTGCGGTGTGCTGCTGCTGCTGCTGCTGCCACCCCTACTGCTTCTGCTGCTGCTGCTGCTGTTGCTGCTGCTGCCGTTTCTGCTGCTACTACAGGCTGGAGCCTTGAGCACGGAGAGACAGAAGGCGCAGCAGCAAGCAGAAATGTTTCGTCATAACATAAAGGGCATGGGTGCGTCGCTGCTGCTGCTGCTGCTGCTGCTTTTGCTGCTGCTGCTGCTGCTACTGCTTCTACTGCAGCTTCCGCTCCTACTCCTGCTGCTGCTGCTGTTTGTGCTGCTCCTGCTTCTGCTCCTGCTGCTGCTGCTTCTGTTGAAACCAATGCTGCGCCTGGTCGGGCTGCTGCTGCCTGTTCTACGGCTGCTGCGGCTGCTGCTGCCTTTGTTGCTGCTGTTGTTGCTGTTCTTGCTGCTGCTGTTCTTGCTGCTGCTGTTCTTGCTGCTGCTGTTCTTGCTGCTGCTGTTCTTGCTGCTGCTGCCAGTTGGAAGAAGATGAAGCTACAGCTGTGCTGCTGCTGCTGTGCTGCTCTGCAGGAGACTTGCAGAGAAACCTCACAGAAGAGCTTGCAGAGGCAAGCAGGGGCCAGCAGCAGCAGCAGCAACAGCAGCAGCAGCAGCAGCAGCAGCAGCAGGAGTAACAACAGCAGCAAAACTGGCTTTTCGAACGTTTTGAGTTAGCTAATAATACCATTGACAGCCGACTAAGCTTTAGGGTTTCTGTCAGAGTGCCAGCTAGAGCCTAGAGCTTAGGGTTTAGGGTTTAGGGTTTAGGGTTTAGGGTTTAGGGTTTAGGGTTTAGGGTTTGCGTCAGGCTCGGGAGCGCGTCAGCGCAGTCAAAAAGGCCTTCCGCAGCAAAGTTGGAGAACTGCAAAAAGAACATGAGCAGTGGAGGGTTATTATAGAAAACCACCAACAAACTTTGAAAGTAGACTTGCTGCTGCTGCTGCTGCTGCTGCTGCTGCTGCTGCTGCTGCTGCTGCTGCTGCTGTTGTGGCCATGATGATGAAGGGGGTGTTGAAGGTGCTGTTATAAAGAAACCGGCAGCACACCGTGAAGGTAGACTTTGCTGTTGCTGCTGCTGAGGATTTTGCTGCAGCAGCAGCAGCAGCAGCTGCTGCTGCTGCTGCTGTCGTGACTTTCCTTCTTAATGCATATATCGTAACAGCATTTACAGGGTGTGATAAGGCAAGCAGCAAAGTTTAGGGTTTAGGGTTTGGGGTCTAGGGTTTAGGGTTTAGGGTTTAGGGTTTAGGGTCTGAGGGTCTGGCTTAGGAATGGCAAGACAAGTATGAACAGTCGCAGTCACAAGTAAGCGGAGCCTGCTGCTGCTGCTGCAGCACCTGCTGTTGCAGCAGCTGCTGCTTCAATTGCTGCTGCTGCAGCTTTTCTGACTGCTGCTGCTGTTGCTGTTCCTGCTGCTGCTAGAGCTATTGCTACGAATGAGGGCTGTTGCTGTTCCTGCTGCTGCTAGAGCTATTGCTACGAATGAGGGTGCTGCTGCTTCTCTTCTTCCGTCTGCTGCTGTCGCTGCTGCTGCTGCACTGCCTTTGCTGCTCTTGCTGCTGCTGCTGCTGCTGCTGCTGCTGCCAACTCACAAACACTGCCTCAGCAGCAGAAAAAAAGTGCTGCTGGAGAGTTTGCAGGTCGAGGCCGAGAAAGCAGCTATGGAGAGGCTCAGGTAGGTGCAGCAGCAGCAGCAGCAGCAGCAGCAGCAACAGTAGCAACACCTGCAGCAGCAATATCATCAGCATCAGCAGCAGCAGCAGCAGCAGCAGCAGTGGCTTCTGTATCTGGCCCCTTTTCGCTGCTGCTGCTGCTGCTGCAGTTGAGCCCCGTGCACTTTCAACATGTGATTTGCCCATTGGGGCTGAAGTGCACTTAAGCCCTAAACCCTAAACCCTAAACCCCAAACCCTAAACCCTAAACCCTAAACCCTAAACCCTAAACCCTAAGCTGAGAGATTGTCTTGCAGGAGCCAATTTGACCAGCTGCAAATCTTCGCCAACGACTTGGCAGCCGAAAAGGAAGAAACTCACGCGTCTGCCAAACCCTAAACCCTAAACCCTAAACCCTAAACCCTAAACCCTAAACCCTCGAGATTTTGCAAAAGAAAAGAAAAGCGAATTTGAAAAGCACGCACTTCTAAACCCTTTTGTGCTCTCTGTTCACGCGTAAAGCATGCCTTTAGGGTCTAGGGTTCAGAGTTTAGGGTTTAGGGTTTAGGGTTTAGGGTTTAGGGTTTAGGGCTCTGGTCTTGTGGCGTCAGGCAGCTGCGTCAGCAACTGCAGCTAAATGAGCAGCTGCAGGCTGAACTGAGTACGTTAACTGCTGCTGCTGCTGCTGTTGCTGCTGCTGCTGCTACGGTTACTGCTGCTGCTGCTGCTGTTGTTGCTGCTGCTGCTCCTGCCGCTGCTGCTGCTCCTGCCGCTGTTGCTGCTGCTGCTGCTGCTGCATTCTTCTTCTTTCGTCTCTTTTTAATTTTGTGGCCGAGGTGTCTGTACATCTCATCAGCAAGAAACGCAATGCTTCTGATGCTGCTGCTGCTGCTGCTGCTGCTGCTGCTGCTGACATCGCTGCTGCTGCTGCTGCTGCTGCTGCTGTTGCAGCGGAGATCACGGAGAAGCTGCTGCTGCAGCAGCAGAAAAAGAAACAGCAGCAGCACAAGTGGAGGCGCGACCACATATCTGCTATTGACCAGTACCCTAAACCCTAAACCCTAAACCCTAAACCCTAAACCCTAAACCCTTGTGTGCTATCTCCTTTTTGTTTTGTCCCTTTTCACTCTCCCTTTGTCTCCTTTTTGCTGCTGTTAATATTCAGCAAAATCGAAGCTAGAGAATTCGCTTCGAGGTTTATTGAGGTTGCAGTGCAGGTAAAAGCTGCTGCTGCTGCTGCTGCTGCTGCTGCTGCTGCTGCTGTTGCTGCTGCTGTTGCCGACCTTGCTGCTACTGTGGCTTCTGCTCTACAAGATTTCAAAAGCTCTTGCAGCAGCAGCAGCAGCTCCTGCTGTTGCTGCAGTCACAAGGAGCAACTCGGATTATTTTTCAATGCTTCACCTTAGCAGCAGCAGCAGCAGCAGCAGCAGCAGCAGCAGCAGCAGCAGCAGTGTTTTGTGCTGTAGGCTGATGTTGAGTCCTGCTCTTCTGAGGAGACACCTGAGGAGACACCTGCTGCTCTCTTGAAAGCAGCAAAGCCCCTTGGCACTGTCATCAAGGGGTATTGCTGCTGCTGCTGCTGCTGCTGCTGCTGCTGCTGCTGCCTCTGCTGCCTCTGCTGCCTCTGCTGCCTCTGCTACTGCTGCTGCTGATGCTGCCTCTGCTGCTGCTGCTGCTGCTGATGCTGCTTCTTCTGCTGCTAATGCTGCCTCTTCTGCAGCTGCTGCTGCTGTTTCTGCTGCTGCTGCTGTTCTTGTTGCTGCGGCTGTAGAATTATTGCTGCTATCCCGCCTCACTGTTGTTGCTGCTGCTAGTTCAGTAGCTGCTGCTGCTGCTGCTGCTGCTGGAACAGCGGCTGCATCAGTAACAACAGCAGCAGCAAGCATTGCTGCCTTTTATGTGCTTTTTTGCTGCAGCGGCTGGAGTCGCAGTAACTGAGTTCGCAGCAGCAGCAGCAGCAGCAGCAGCAGCAGCAGCAGCAGCACCACAAGTCAGCAGCAGCAGCAGCATCACTACCACCAAAAATCAGCAGAAGCATCGGGAGCAGCAGCAGCAGCAGCAGCAGCGCTACCACTAGAACCCGGCAGCAGCAGCATCAGCAGCAGCAGCAGCAGCATCACCTCCAAAAAGCAGCAGCAGCAGCAGCATAAGCAGCATCAGCATCAGCAGCAGCAGCAGCAGCAGCAGCAGCAGCAGCAGAGTGTGAGCTTCTGCTGCTGCTCCCACAATGAATGTTTGCTTCTTGAAATTTTGTTTAAAAGAAAGGAAAAAAGTTTTGCTGCCTTCTGGCAAATTAATAAAATTATTTTTAAAGATTTTTTTTAGCTTTCTTTTTTGCTGCTGTTGCTGCTGTTGCTGCTGTTGCTGCTGTTGCTATTGCTGCTGCTGCTGCGTTTGCTGCTGTTGCTGTTATCGCTGCTTTTGCTGCTGTTGCTGCTTCTGCTGCTTTTGCTGCTGTGCTGCTTCTGCTGTTTCTGCTGCTGTTGTCACCAATTCTTTTGCCGTTGCAGGTTTTGTTGCTGCTGCTGTTGTTGCTGCTGCTGCTTCTGCTGCTGTGCTGCTGCTGCTGCTGCTGTTGCTGCTGCTTCTGTTGCTGCTGTTGCTGTTGCTGCTGTTGCTGCTGCTGCTGTTGCTGCTGCTGCTGTTGCTGCTGCTGCTGTTGCTGCTGCTGCTGCTGCTGCTGCTGCTGCTGCTGCTGCTGCTGCTGCTGCGCCTAATTGGTCGCCACTCGAGGCGCCTTTTGCTGCAGAGCAGCAAATAAACTGCAGCAGCTTTTTGGATTTTAAAATTCTTTTTTTATTTTTCTTTTTTTCTTTTTTTCTTTTTTTCTTTTCTTTTTCAATTCAAATTGTCTAGACTCTTTAATGCCATTATTTATTTTTTAATTCTTTATAAATTCTTTTTTATTTCTTTTTTATTCTTTTTTATTCTTCCTATTTCTTTTTATTTCCTTTTATTTTGTGTTTCTTTTTTATTTCTTGAATTCTTATTTCTGTAATTTTTATTTCTCCTTTATTTGCTTTTATTTATTTATTTATTTTAATTTATTTTTATTAATTTAATTTATTTTAATTTATTTTTATTTATTTTTAATTTTTGGCCTTTTCAAGTTTTGCTGCTGCTGTGCTCCTGGTGGAGAATGGCTGTCCAGGACTTTCAACTTTTTATTTTTCATTTATTTATTTATTTATTTATTTATTTATTTATTTATTTATTTATTTATTTATTTATTTATGTATTTGCTTGTTTTTAATATTTATTTGTTTATTTATCATTTGTTTTTATTATTAATTTGTTAATTTATTGTTTTTATTATTTATTATTTGTTTTTATTATTAACTTATTTATGTATTATTTGTTTTTATTATTTATTTACCTGTATATTGTTTATTTTTATTATTTGTTTATTTATTTATATTGTTATATATTTATTTACATTTATTTATTTCTTTTCTGTGTATTTGTTAATTTATTTATTTACTTAGTCTTCACTGTTTGCTATATTTTCCTTTTTATTTATTTATTTATTTATTTATTTATTTATTTGTTTATTTATTTATTTGCGTTTTCCAAGAATGAAGATTAAAGAAACTTACATTGAAAGAGGAAAAAACATTTCAAATTTAAATCCAAATATTCCATTTTGTTTTATTTCAAAAGTTCCCAAAAAAGCTCTCAAGCAGCAGCTGCTGCAGCATTCACTGCAGCAGCAGCAGCAACAGCAGCAGCAGCAAAGTCTGCAGCAGCAGCAGCAGCATTTACAGCAGCAGCAGCAGCTGTATTCACAGCAGCAGCATTTGCAGCATTTACACCAGCGGCAGCAGAAGCATTTGCAGCAGCAGCAGCAGCATTGACAGCAGCAGCAGCAGCAGCGGCAGCAGCAGCAGTTACTGCAGCAGCAGCAGCAGCAGCAGCAGCAGTTACTGCAGCAGCAGCAGCAGCAGCAAGAGGATATTCCAAGTGTCTCCTTTTGCTGCTTCCAAATTAATTCTCAAGACACAAAAGAGGACAAAATGCCTTTTGTCTCCTTTGTCCATTTGCTGCTTTTTTATTTATTTATTTTTTTTAATTTCCTTTTAATTCTCTTTTTAATTCTTTTTTAATTCTTTTTAATTCTTTCTGAATTCTTTTAAATTATTTTAAATTCTTTTAAACTCTTAATTCCTTTTAATTCTTTTCTAGTTCCTTTTTAGTTTCTTTTAATTTCTTTTTTTTTCTTTTTGTGTCTTCTTTTGTTTCCCTTATTGTTTCTCTTTTTTTGTTATTTTATTTCTATTTTTATTTCTATTTTTATTATTTTTATTTTTATTTTTATTTTTTAAATTTGACTTTTAATTAAATCAGCAGCAAAAGCCTCTACTGATTTGCTGCAGCAGCAAAGAAAGACGAAAAAGAGATGATTGGCTTTGCTGACACTCTAAACCCTAAACCCTAAACCCTAAACCCTAAACCCTAAAAAATCGAAAAAGGATAGGAGAACGCAAGAA